AAAAAAAAAAAAAAAAAAAAAGAAAGAAAAAAAATTAATCAATGTAATCTGTATTAGAGTGAAGAAGAAAACCTGTATGATCATCTCAATGGAAGTAGAAAAAAACCTTTGCCAAAACTCAGTAGCTATTTATGATAAAAAGTTTTAGCAAACTAGAAATAGAAAAAAAAACTTTCTGAATATGATAAAGGTTTTCTTTTAAAAAATCTATAGCGAGTGTCATACTCAGTGGTGATATAGTGAATGCTTTCCTACTGAGTTTGGGATGACTTCTATTACCACTTCTATTTATTGCAGTTCCTAGCCATTACAATAAGGCAAGAAAAAAAAAGAAAAGACATAAAGATTAGAAAGAAGGATGTGAAAGTGTCTTCATTCATCAATAACATAATTGTGTACATAGAAAATTCAATGGAACGAACAAATTGTTAGAATTAATCAGTTAATTTAGCAGAGCTGCGGCATACAAGGTTCTGTAAATTGTTTGTGAACTGAATCACTTCCTGTGTATTTTTCCAGCATCACGTTCTGCCATCCTTACCCTGTCCCCTCCACTAGTCATCACAACATTCCCTTGTGATAGTTGTACTGCATTTCTTTCATTTCCTCAAAAGATCCATCTTCCTGCTTTCAGATCTGCATTTGTTATTTCCTCTCCTAGAATATTCATGTCCTTCTACTGCCTCTTGCTCCTTATCCACTGTCAGTAACGTGTGTTTCCATAGGACTTAATGTTCTTTAATTGCTCGTTTGCCTCTTGTTTGCTATATTTGTAGACTGTTTTTATGTATTCAGTGCCTCACAGAGTGCTCTATATAAGGTATTAATAAATATTTGTTGAATGTTGCTGGATTGTGTAATACTTTGAAAGTTAAGACCTGGAAGAAGTGAGTTCTCTTTCTGAAGGTATTTCTGTAGAAAGTCTGTCTCCTAACTAAAAGTGAAAAACTGAAGGATTTGGTTGTCTTCTTATCCCACAGAAGACCATCATTGAATTTAAAGAATTTAATTCATGTCAGCATAGCTTATGCATCCCTGCTTCTTCATGGCCACTATCAACAATAATTGATTATTTTCTTAATGAACCTAGATCTGCTTTAGGATTTTTTTTTGATGTAACATTCTAGAAAGCTATGACCAATTAATTGGTATTATCTCATAAAAACTGTTACTAATTATCTTTCAAATCTGTTCTTCTAGAACTTAATTCCAAGTAATAAATTCTTCTCATTCATTAATTGAAGTAGCCATTTTGGCTTTTAGTACCTCACTTTTGTAATAAAATGTATCACTATGGGCCGGGTGCAGTGGCTCACTCCTGTCATCCTAGCACTTTGGGAGGCCGAGGCTGGTGGATCACAAGGTCAGGAGATCAAGACCATCCTGGCCAACATGGTGAAACCCCTTCTCTACTAAAAACACAAAAAATCAGCCTGGCATGGTGGCATGTGCCTGTAGTTCCAGGTACTTGGGAGGCTGAGGCAGGGGAATTGCTCGAACCGGGAGGTGGAGGTTGCAGTGAGCTGAGATCGCGCCACTGCACTCCAGCCTGGCGACAGAGCAAGACCCCGTCTTAAAAAAAAATGTATCAGTATGTACATTTTAATATACAAGTCAAAAATTTTATATGGTTATAGACTTTGTGCTCACAAAGATTATTTCTGAAGAATGGGATCAGAAGAGACTTTCACTTCCTTTAATATGTTTTTTATTTCTTGAAGTAAGGACCATGTAATTCTAACCACTGAAAATATTGATTATTAAAAAATCAAATAATGCTGAAATGTGGGCAATGAAAACTTATGTGAGACTGTGTTAGCAAAAGTAAACCTGACTGCTTCTTCCTTTTCATCCTTCCTCAGATGTTGAGCATGTACTGAAGGCCCATGTTAACAGTATATATTTCCAGGTTTTTTTCCCCTAACTATTCACACATGCATAACACTAACTTATATTATTATGTCCCAGGACTGATTCAGATTCTTTATATGTATTACATGTATTGGATATTGCTTTATTTCAGAACTTAGATATTTCTTTTATTATTGCTAAAAATTATGTAACATTGTATTGTATGGGCATTTATGTTGTTTTTCAGCTTTTTCCCTATTGGTTATGTTGTTGTGTACTTCCATATATGTACATTTAAAAAAATATACAAAGAATTTTTTTTTTTAAGGATAACTCCT